CATGTTATATAATAATAATAATAATAATAATAATAATAATAATAATAATGCGGTGAGGTCAATACAAAAATAATTTAAATAAAACAAAAATAAATTGGAATAAAGTAGTCAACGGTGTATAAGATAAGAACAAGAAGAATGATAAAATGTCAGGAAAATAAAAGTGTGCTATCATTCATAAAGAGCTCTTTTTTTTTTTTAAATAAAGGTGTTTAACCTCTCCAGCTGAAAACAATTTGCTCATGAGATGTTTTGTTAAATATTTAAAGAATTGGTGGTGCTCCCTTGAAAATGTGACACTTTGTTAATCCTTGAAATTGTTGTTTATCTTTACAACAATTCGCATTAAGTTGTCCTCTGTATGTAATGTCCACTAAGACATTGAATCTGTAGAGAATGATTCCTAACTGTTTTTCATTCACTTGAAGTCGATACTTTGTTTTTGCTAAGATTAAAAAAAGGTAAATATTAATAAAAGTATATAATTAACTTGCCAACGTACCTTTGATCTAAGCTAACAGTTTTGCAAAGCCTTCCCAGTTCTACATTCAGGAGGACAACTTAATGTAAAGGTTGATAAACTGTTTTTAGCCCACTAGGCCATATTGCATGATCTTTGTTAAATCTAGAGTGTGGTTTTCTTTGTTGACATTTTTGTTTAGTGTCTTACATACCCAGCTTTACTGGATGACAAAATGCACATTGCCTCTTTATCTGAAGTTCATTTTACCCCCAGAAGGAAAAGATCATATTTCTGTTGCATAGAATGAAACTGCATTAAACCAATGATTATACAGCCTGGTTGCATATGTTGACATTTTTAGGAGATGACACAAGAGGTGTAAGAGCAGATTTCCTAGTTTTCAAGAGACTGTTTTTTTTTTTTTTAATTTTTATTATTGATCCTTTTAAAGAAAGGTGAAATTTGACCTATGCAATGCAATAATTGGGGTAAAAATAAATATTAATGTTATGTTATGAATTTAGGGAGTGGATAAATAGGATAAGGATAATAATAGTCTACCTCATTTGTAATGTTCAGCCACACCTTTTCAGTTGGCAGCTGCTTTTGTGCTTTAGTACGATTATGTCTTGTTACTGTTGGCACAACTGAGACATAAACAAAGGCATAAGACATACAACCCATCTGTCCTGTTTCCTAAATTTAGATCATGCAGAGAGGTGAAACAATTACATATTTACCCTGCATGCATAATAGATAGTTATTGTTTCCCAAAGGTCACATGAGCCAGTCAGTTCAATGAAATAGGCACTAAATGTACCTGCAGCCAACAAGTAAATTAAACTTTAGTTGTTGTGCTGCTTCTTACTTGTTTGCGGTCATAGTTAAATGAATCATTGCGCGATTGGTTTAGACAGTAACAGGTGTGTAGGCCTTTAAGCAGGTGTTTAAATACAGAAACACTGATGCATTAATAATAGATTTGCCAGCTTTATTTTGCAAGTTAGATTGAGCAAATGGTTCTTCTCAGCTAAAATATTAAGGTTTTTTGCAGTTTCATTTCTTTGCAATAAGCTTTATGCTTTCTGATACAATAAAAGTATAAAACCCCAAAGCAGCCAGCAGGTTTCCAGTTGGGCAGTTTATTGTGTTTTTATGTTGTCATCAGAGACTTTGGTCTGTTAAATTTGAGCTCGCTAAAGGCTGTCACAGGAAAAAATTCATCAGAATTACCATAGTGAAATAATGGCTGTGAGATCTAGATGTTAGTTACATGTTAGAATGGGGGGGGATTGTGTGTGCTGCATTTGACACTATTAAACAAAATCTGACACTAGTACTGTTGGCTTTGGGCCTTTGGTTTCAATAAAGAATGTAAAGGCTACTAATGCACATTTTTTAAATGTTGTTGAAACACGAATGTAAAATCTCTTCTTCCTGGTTCCATTGACTGCATACCCCCAGACGGGAAAAAGACACTAGCTAAGAATGAAGGAAATGTAAAAAAATGTGGCTGACAGCTGTGACATACTGATTTTTACAAATCAGCGAGCCCAGCCTGATTTATTTTTTTTCCTCTTAGTTGAACCATAGTTTTGATACGCATGTGAAACCCCTGGTTGCTTTGGCTGTTTAAGCAAAATAGAACCAACACTTTTAATAAATGCTTAATTTCTTGTTGATATCATGAAATGTGCATTTGGTTATCAGTTGATGTGTAATATTTATGATGAAAATATGTGATTTTTTTTCCTCTGCAGATTACAGATATTATCTAGTTTAGTTTATCAAGTTATTTATTTATTTTTTACTGTGGCACAACTGGGAGGGAAACCAAGGCACACAGGTGGGAATGAGGCTCATGACAAAATAACAAGGTTTCTGTCAAATAGCTGCAACTAACAACTTTTTTCTAAACTTATGTAGCCTTTTTAATAAAATGCAGTAAATAAAGGATTTAGATAAAATGATTCCTTCAAGCTTAAAAACCCTGAAAGCCAAGTAATCCCAGTTCTATTGCATCTCAACTTAAAATGAAAGAAGTCTACAAATGTACACATTCAACACCAAATTGAACAGAAAAAAATATTGTACTGAATTAATATGTTAAAGAAAATACCCACTCTATCATTTTATTTGGAGCATTAATACTTTATTGCCACGACCTACAAGATGTGGCTCCTTAGGCTTTGAAGCATCAAATAAATAGCAAGGAATAGAATTGTATTAAATTTCTGTGGATTATTTTGCATCCATGTTTTTGTACCAACAAAGAACATGTAATAACGTTTACCAAATTGCTGTATTTACATAGCTAATCATAGTTTCAGATATAATTTTGTTTTAACTTTAGCCATTTCAATCCTATTTTAAATTGCCTAAAATCCTGACAAATCAACTCTATACATAATAAATCATTTGACTGTGTTTCACATTTTGGGCATATTATCCATCTTTCACATTTATAGTCTTTCATATTACAAAATCTCACGAAAAGGTTATGTCGTGCTTTAAAGAAAAAAAATCCAGTTTAGTTACATGAAAGTTGCACATTTGTATTATTTTTCTTACTTCGTCGTCCCGGGATGTGTTTTTCCTTGGTTTGAGGTTTAAACAGGGATCAAGCTTTGAGTTTTCTCTTTCAAGGTACCTTGAACATTCAACTGGATAGCCACTTGCTTTCAGTCTGTCCCTCAAGATCTTACATTTGACTGCCTGTCCGTGTGTTTGTTTCTTTCTCTTTATCTTAGCCGCATTTCTTAAGCTCCTGTCAACAGTGAAAGTCACCTCACTGAAAAAACTATATCATTTGTTTTTTATTCAAACTTGCCCCAAATATTAAATAAGTACCAAACCTCCAACCATTAACAGTGGCGTTGCTGTAATTATTGCTTCATACAAAGAGGATTCCCCGCATCACATTAATGATACGGATGTTAAACTTTGTGTCAGTATTATTTGAATCCTCGCCATTATTTTTTTTGCGGATTCCTCTTTGGCCACCTCTGACTTGTTGGCTTTTTTTTGCGAGCCTTCTTGGGGAAAGGGCCCTTTCTGATCTACAATTTGCATCATCCCACATCTTTTGTTGCTCTTAAACACATCTCAAGTGGGAAGTAAAAAATGCATAGTCACAGGCGGCATTTACAGTATAAATGGTCTCACTGTATGCTTGAAATATATTTCAGATCACTTTGCAGCTGGGACTTTTTCTGCTTTTCTTTGCACTGGCATTGTTAGCCTTGTGCTTATGGGAGAAGAAAACAGAAGAGGCAGAGTTTACCAGTGAAGAGAAACTGCACTAAATGGATTCATCTCTGATTCATTAGGTTGAACAGCAGTTTCAGAGAACTCTCTCACTATCTGCCTCTGCTGACGATTCAACACACTCAGTTGGCCGAGCAGCAGCTTATAAAGGCCGACTGTGGCTCTGGATACAGCGCAAACCAACAGGTCACAGATGATAAATTGTGGCCCAGCAGCACCTGATGGATGACTGTGGGCTTGCTGAGATCAGGGGCCTAATATTTGGGTTGATTTCATAGTATACAAATATAAAAATCTTCCATCCCCAGTGGCTTATAGGTGTTTTCATGAATGTTGCCTTTGCACAATTGTATGAGGTCAACTGGAACTTGGTGTTTTCTTAATGTACCAGTGGATGGTTGGCAATCAGTCATGCATTGCATTTCCCTGTTTCCTTTGTTCCAACCATCTACAGTCACGTACACAATTTCTTTCTTGTAAACGGAGAGCCATGGTTCTGGACAAAGGGGTAAATGTGGTTGAATGACGGAAGGAGGAGACATCATCCTCATGTGATTCATATCTTTATCCCATTAGCAAGTGAACACAGCTTTCCACTGTGATGGCAGCATCACATCTGAATTGTTTTAAGGCTGGAACAGTCTTGTGCTATTATCCATCTTTAATGAAAAACATGTCTTATTTGCCTATGTCTTGTCATCTCTCTATATAATGAGATCCAATTCTCACATTAAAATTGTTGTGGCTCTTGTGCCTAAATTAAACTTAGGGCGTTTTCACATTGGGCACGATTGTTTGGTACTGTGCCCAAGCACGATTCCTCCCCTCTCCCCCCATTGTTCCATGCTCCAGCACACTTGCATATTGACAGTCAGGCACAGTAGGTGGCAGTGTGCATCCTTTGTTTCTGTTCCACGCACATGTAAATACTGACAAATACTTCCATAAATCTCAGTGTTTATGTGTAGTATCCAGTTGTCCTGTATTTTTACGTCAAGCGTACCGGACTCAGGCTTGTGTTCACACTGATCTAAATGAACCAGACTTTGGGTCAAGTGTACTCGGTTCCAGGCCTAGGTCCCTAATGTGAAACCACCCCAAATCTGTTATAACCTGAAAGGATATTTTTTCTACGCAAAACATAAAAACACCACATCCATGGTGGATGCAAGATTCTTATTTGCCATTAATGCATAAACAGACGGTCTAGGCATATAGGATTTCTTGTGCAGGGCTCTCCTGGAGTCAAGTAAAAAGTTTAAAGTATTTAAACAAACTTGGATATTAAACATTTAAGCTATTACCAAAAAAAACAAAAAACAAAAAAAGAATAAGTAATATCATTTAAAACAAGATTTGTTATTAAAAAGCTTTTTCTTCTATTTGTCATGAGCCTCAGTGTTCAGTAGCAAGCTAGCAGCAGGTAGGACAGTGTTTAGAGGCTGCCAGTGATGAAAGCAGTGCAGAGGCTTAGAGCATCTGAGGGAGATGTTAGGTTTACCTAGAAACATGTGCTGAACTATTCACTGTTTAATGCTAACACTCATCCTGTTGCAATGATTATTCACTGTCATTTCACTGTACTAAATATTTTACTTTATACACAGAAATGTTTTATTTTGTATGTCACAGTATTAACACTATACAGTATCATAGTCTGTTTTGACATCTAATTTTTGTCACCTTTTCCTTTATGAAAGTGGCAATAAGTTACAAAAAAAAGTTTTCTATACTGTTAACAGAAACAGAACCGTACGTCTTAATGTTTTGCAGCCATTGAATTGGAAATGACTTGGTTTTTTCAAGTAATCCTAGAAAGGGGGAGAATAGACACTGCTGAGTCTGCCCCGTTCCCTGGGATAGCCGCACTGTTGTGGCATTGAGTGTTCTCACTATCGCTTCCTATCTACACACTGGCAAACTGTTGAGGTATTTCTTGCGGTGATTGGTTTTAATGCTAGGTTTTTATAAATAAAAACTAAAGTTTTAGACCTGCATGCTTTGCTTATTATCCATGATTATTCCTGTATCTAGTCTTTTGTTTTTATTTTATGATTTGTTTTTGTGAACTAACCTTAGGATCCCTTTATATGGACAGGTTTAATCACGTGAGTCCCATGTCAACATTGTAGCATGATAATAGGCTGCCTCTGGAAGGTTAGACAGTAGTTAGAGAAGATACATACATATTGTGTGCTTAGGACGGAAAAGCAAAGCATACCAGGCATTTACAAAGAATTAACGCTTCCTTTTTACATTTTGATATTGAACCTGGGTTAATTAGTGTACATAATTATCCATTTACTGGGATCAGTGCATACTGTGGATGTCAGGTCTCACTAAAGGAATAACAGAGATTTAGTTACTATATTAGCCTGTCAGTTATATAGGAGTTGCCTACTGATCAAGTTAAAAGGAGGTCAAAGAACAAATTAATTGTGGAAGGAGGAAAAGTAACTAAAATTGGATGTTAAACTACAGAATGAAATAGATAATGGAGAGACGGGAGATTTACTAAAGAAATGAGGAAAAATATGCAACTGCAAGATTATCTAAAACTTTGTTTTTCACAATTTTTTTTACTTCAGATTCATGCAAGATAATTGAAATTCCATTAAGTGGTTCAGACTCTTGTGGACACTTGTGGCCTTACCTTCTGTGTATCCAAACCACAAAAATACTCTGTAGCATCTGCTGTTGTTAATGCACTTTAAAACCAACACGAGTTGAGTAATAATCTTTGAGTTTCTCCGGCTGCAGACTTGTCAATAAACAGAAGATCTTTTGCTTCCAAAAATGAAGGGTGGACTTTATAGTCACCTTTAGTATCAAATTTATTTAAAAATCCCAGATTAAACACAAACTGGGGAGGCGGAAAGGCTGTGGCGGGATTTGATCTGAGGTTGTTATACACATGACTCCAGAGGCTACACGATTAACCACTGGACTTCCTCTGGATAGCAGATCCTTTGTGCGGCATTTAAATTGAAGCAAAATGACAACAAATGTAGCTGACAGTATCTGATTATTGCTTAAAAGGATTAAACTAAACTCTGTAAGAATTGTTTCATGTACTGTATTGTTTTCATTTGTTGTTCTCTGGTCCATATTGCTTTGCTCAGGGAGCTATTTCTTTTCAAAGGGATTGAAAATTTTCATTTTAAATTCTAAATTAAACAGCATGGCATTTAAATAGTAGGATTTCTATTCCTTAGAGTGAGACCAGTCCATCTACCTGATCACAAAATGGTTTTCAATATTAAAGTTGTCTCTTGAAATAATCTTTTGGAAGCGTTAATTTTCAAGGGGACGGGATGTGCAACAAGTTATTGTGTGATATTTGTTTTTTAAATCTTCAATTTTTTTATAAAGTGTTCATGTTTCATGTGCAGTAGTTCTTGAAATGTCTTTTTTCACAACTGTTTAGATGAAAATGCAGAGCAAGAACCGTTTCCTAACAGAATGAATGACCAAACAGTAAATGTGTTCCTAAAATGTTGTCTCATTGCGTGGAAGTCAATGTCACTTAGTTTTAACTTTAACAGTAAATAGTTAAATACAGTAAAATATAATGAGCATTATAGAATTCAGTGGGTAGTGTTATTTTATTCATGGGCATAACTTATTCTCTTGTGGGTTTTTATGTTTATAGCCTACTGAGAGAGGGGTTTTCTTTTTTTTTTCTTTATGTTGTAATGGTAATTACAAGCTTGTATTGGGACCAGGAATCCCAGTTCGTGACAAAGACATTGCTGTTTGCTGACAACCCATTTTGCAGTAGTACATTTAGACAAAGAACAAGTGTAGTATTGTTTAGCAGCTGGCCAATGGAGGGAACATCCCATTATCAAGTTAACGGGCATCTGTTTGCCTCTGACATATGTTCCTACACTTACATTTCACAGCAGCAGGAGAAAATTGATGGTTTTGTATCTGGCATTTTGTTTTCCAAGCAACCGCAGCAACAGCATTGAGATGAAATAGATTACCCTTATATAGTATTATTTAGTTGCACTGGTAAGATGGGTCTTTGCTGTGTTTTATTGTCCAGTGAAATTGCTTCCTTGCAATATAGTACAAGTCTGAAAATTGAAAAGCTGTAACACTCCACTGTTTGCTCATTCATTATTGCACTCAAAATAGCCTCGTTCCTGCTGCAACTGGATATGATTAACACAAATGTACACATTGAAGAAACTCTGGTTTGAGTTTTGAATAGTTGCACAAGCTCCACTTCCTATAGGTGTTTCTCTTATTTTTCATTTCTTGTTGATCTTTCTTGAAACAAAAAGAAGACATGGTTCGGTAGCTTCACCTTCCCAAGAGAAGACATCTGGATTTCTGATGCTTGAAGGTTTCAGCGTGTTCTCATCACGTTCTCCATACTAACCACCGAATCTGTGATGTTTCCTCTGAGGATACAACACCTTGCATCCTGCCGTCCTTTGGATCAAGAACTACTTAATCTTGTCCTAATTTGGGAAGAGTTTCACATTTTTTCCTCGCCAGGCTCTGTTTCATCACATTTTTCAGAAATTATAAATTCTTTTCCATTATAGCCCTTCCACCTTACATGCAACTAACACATTTATATACACCATACATCAATACGCACAGGTAAACTTCAGGCTTTCTTATGCAATAGAGATTTGGCCTCCTTGATGTTTGTCCAGCTCTTTACATCACCTACAGAAATGTTCTCCTTTGGATTCATCGTTTGATACAAACATCATCCTCTCCAGTTTGTCAGATTGTCTTGGGTACTCATTAAAATAAAATAAACAGGTGTCTTAATCATGTCCTTTTGCAGCAGACATTTTTCCTTAATGATTTGGAAACTCTTTCAAGATAAGAGTTCTATGGAAGATGCAAATGATCCAAAAGGGATCAGTAGTCATCTCATGAAGATGATGAAGAGGGCCTGAGAGGGTAGAGCAGCACAGGCTATTTCTGTACCTCTGTGTGTCTGTCTGTCTGTCTGTGTGTGTGTGTGTGTGTGTGTGTGTGTGTGTGTGTGTGTGTGTATGAATATTTGCTTATTAAGTGTGTATGTGTGTGCCTGTGTATGTGAGCCTGGGCGTGTTTTGTTAGTTTTTATTTGTGTACATCAAACACACAGTGAGCGTTTCTAACACTCTCTCTTCCTCGTTGTGTAGCATGAGGAATGCCAGTGGGCTGACTGCTGCTGACCTGGCCCATGCCCAGGGATTCCAGGAGTGCGCTGAGATTCTGTCCAATGCCCAGAACTTCCAACAAAACATGGCTCTGTCTCATAATGGGGCTTTTATGAATGGCTTGAGCCAGAACGGGGGCCACCCCATCATCCAGGGACGCAGCTTCTTGAATGGCATGCCCAGCAGAAAGAGGTCATTCGAGGGCATGGAAGCAAACCCAGTAAAGAAGGCCAGATCTTTTGGTAGGTCACTAAGCTAATGAAATCTGTTTAGTTACTTTTGGGTTTTGTCTTTGTAGCCCAGCTCCTCCTTCACCACAACGGTCTGCAGATTTCTTGATGACCTCATCATCAGAATTACTGAACATAAATTCTAAGTTGTATTTTATTTTAAGAATATTGACCCTTTAGTTTACATTCACAGCTGAAAGCCACTGTAGTGCTTACCACTGTCATGAATACCATCATTACCCAAAATAAATGAAGAGGGAAAAAAGTTTTGGATTGAAAAGACTTTTATTTGCGTATATAGAAACAAGTGTAAACATTTATTTTAAATTTCATTCATAGCCTTATTTTTGTATGCACCTTCTTCCCAGGCCTGGGCATGCCACCAGAATTGCTGAATAGGAATGGGCCACTGGGTGGTGCTGGAGAGGCCCAGATGGAGAGCATAAATATGGAGTTAGCAGCTACTGTAACCTCAGGTGGGCCAGGACCCTTTACATTTGGGCTGAATGGGTTTGCACCACCTCAAGGGCCAGGGCCTATGGATCAGTGTGAGAACCAGGGGGGACAGGAAAGGTCAGACCCTGCAACTAAAGAGATGGAGGTCATCACTGTGGCATCAATGCAGACTCCTTGTCGCTGCACCAACTCTTATGCCTATCTGTAGAGGGCCTGTGTGTGTATGTGTGTAAAGACACACTCTAATATTCCTGTTAGTGCAGTGTATCCTTTTGGTATTGCTTGGCAATGTGTTTTTTTTTGGGGGGGGGGGCATATTCCATTATGAAATACACTTTTTAAAGATTTGGTTGTAAGCTACATTTGAAAGGTGTATAGGAGCGTGTGTGGTGTCTTTTCTATGTTTCCATGTACATAATTATATTTGGATGGCAAACGTATTAAGGTTTCTTTTGATATAATTTATATTTATATCCGTCCAGTTAAACCAATAATTGTGTAATCTTTATTTTTTAGGTTAACGTTTTGTAACATTTCAGTTAGTACTATATTAAGATTGTTTGCATTCCCACAATACGGTCGTGTCACCAGAACAAATGGTGACAAATAGATTTTACTGAGAAAAAAAGATTATTGGCAAAACCTTTTAAAACATAAAGTCAGTGAAATGATGCAGTCTTTATTGTTGCTTCTCATATTATGCATTGTTGCATATTACTATAGGAAAAAGGATAGCATTATTATAGTCGCTGACCTTGTGCTGGAACCATTTCAGCAGCATTTCTTAACAGATTTGGCACATTTACTTTATGTTGAAATGGCTAAAGTTGTTATATTCCCATAGAACAGATTAGAAAAAGTTTCACTTTACAGTTCTATTAAGAGAAATGACTGTTGGTATACATGTCAAATATAATATTTGTCTTTTTTGAGGAATACATTTCCCCCAGTTGAGTTTAATAAATTAAATCGTGTTCCTGAATTTAAATAAAGTTTGATTAATACTTTCATGTAAATGTTGATGTGTCTAAGCACTCTTTAATATACACTGAGGAAATGTCTCTTAATATTAACTCCTGCCATACATTTGCATTTTTATATTCAAGAATTACCTTAGGCCAAAGCATATCCCAACATGAATGTAGCTTAAAAAGTATAAACTATTTCACTGTGCAGCCTTTTTGCAGTGTGTAGATGTCGTGTACTAAGACAGTAGTAGTCCACGGGCTTGGAATTTGGTTGTGTTCATTTTGGCTGCGTGCTTTGTTGATACCCAAGTATAGTTAAAGTTTATTGTGTGCGTTTTAGCAAAGGTTTTTAAGTAACTAGCAGGGCTTGCACATTTGTATGTTATATAATAATACCATGTCTGATTTTGAAATTGGCCTTTTTCCATTCAGTGGTTAGGAGTAACTTGTACTGCTCAAGAATGTTTGCATGGATTTCTACACTTTGCAAAAAGCCTTATTTCTTGAGCTGTATTGAATAGTTTGAACAGTTAATGTGCATTATTTTTAACTTTTTTAGATACTGGTAAGGGAATATTTCAGTATTTTGTAGTAATGTTTCATGTTAGAGGTGGTGTGTCTTATTTTACATGCTAGAAGGTTTGAGTGTATAGTGATTCAATTCAGAGCATTCAGTACTGAGCAAATTTAGCTCTGTACTTGATTTTGTGAAATCATTAAATGTTGACAAATTTTATAAATGTATTGTGGTTGTCTTTGTTTTCTTGGTGTATTATCATGCATCTCTTAAGTCCTGTTCTTATGGTATTTTTGCTGGCCTGCAAAAATGTGAAAAGTGAAATAGTTTTGACATATTTTAAAGGAATGATTATAAACATGAAAATAATTTCACTTAAGTAGGAAGTAGATACAGCTTATGAGAGGAAGAAACTGAAATACACAGAATTAGCCATGGAGGCAGAGGGGCGTGCCTGAAAAATTTAAAATCTGTCCTGTGGAGGTTGGTTGTAGGGGATTTGTAGCCAAGTTAGCTGTGTCTCTGCTAGGTGAATTGGGTATAAAAGGTTGGAGCCTAAGACAGGTAATTAGAAACATACCTGATAGTGCACTAAGGTCCAGTGAGTGGCTCTGGAGCAGAAGAAAGGGTTTAAAATAGGTAAGTGATTTATAAATGGCAATGTGTGAGGATTATGCCTATTAAGATGAAGTAAACTAGCATAGCAGGCTTAGTAAAAGTGATACAGGCAACGGGCTTGAAGTCAACGTCCTACTGTTAGCATGAGTAAACTAACATGAGGGTATAGTAGTAGTTTGACTGGTTTGTTGGAATTAATACTGTCATGATGGTTTCTGATGTAATACAAAAGGAAGCAGAAGTCTGCCTAGTTATCTGGTGAGCTATCTGAAATGTTTGTTGCCTAGAACAGCGGTTGACATGTTTGCTAGTGACTTGGGTAACAGCCTGAAGAAAGCTTGTCTTGGGTGTGTGGGTGGAGGCAAAGGTTCTGGGACGCTGTATCACACTTTCTCTCAACAAAACACCAGTTAGTGAGAGGGTGCCCACCTGATGACCTTGTAGACTTGCCTTCACTCCTACACCCACACAGTACTTGTGTTGAAGATAATATAGTTATAGATTCATAGGAATTGTTAAGTCTTTTTTGTTAGACAGTCTTGGTAGAACAGTGCTCGTGGCTGATGAGTTGAGTAGAGGTGACTGCCACTACAAGCCAGTTGGGCCAGCCACTGCTTAACCTGAGCAAATACAATGCAGTTGCTGTGTGTCAAGCCACATGTCTGCTCTTTGCTTGGGTGAGGATAGGGTTCAGGGATGCTTTGTGTTAAGGGCAGGTTAGGTCTGGAAAATAGTGTTGCTTATTGTGGTCCTCTGAAGATTTATGAGGGAATGGCCTGACACCCAATAATGTGTAAACATCATTTAACTTGTATACTGAGCTTCCATATGAATGCTTTCCCATTGTTTGGCCCATTTAATTGTGCATTATTGACGGCAAAGTTCAGACACCTCTGCTCATTATGTTAGCATTTGGACTATGGCATGCAAACATGTCTAGAAGACCTAAGTTACTGCACTAAATCAAGAAAATCTTAAGTACCACTGTGGAAACAGAACTAGGTCACTGTGTCTTACAACATAAATGCAGGCCAAAGCAACCGCCAATCAGGATGTGACCTACTTAACACAAGGTCGTTCATTGTTGAGCTGCATAAGACTGGAGCATACTTTGCAACTCACTGATCATTTTTTTTAGTGTGATCCAAAATACAGAACATGCTTTTTGAGTGTGCTGAATTACAGTCACAGAATGACATATGGCTTACAGCTAGCTGCTCATAGCAAGCACCTTTTCAGTAGTTGTGCAAAACAAAATCTTGTCATCTTTTTTTTTTTGCTTATTATATTTGTAACAGAAGAAATATGGTAACAGATATATTTATATGCATTTTGACTACTTGTATCCTTTCCAGTGGCAGGTGAGAGACATGGTGAGGATTTGTCCTCAAGTTGTCACAATCAACCACAACTTCCATTTGTGGGTGAGCCAGCAGCAGACACCTTCTGCAGCCATCACATCTACAGCACTGCAGGCAGCCAGCTGGAGCACCAGAAGTCTGTGGCAGCAGAGCAGTTGTATGATCATGCCCTCTTCAACACCATGCTTCTTTACCATGGATCCTAAAGTACAAACTATCTAGTTGACAGACTGTCCTTTTTGCCTAAATCTCATGTAACAATAAGCAAGCATTAATTTACCTTAAACCCACAGAGTGGTCCTGTTATTCACTGAAATTATTTGTTGTAGAGGGCAGGCCTATTGTGAATGGATCTGAAATTTGTAATGATAAAGCTGACGTAAAAGTGGATTTTTATTTGTTTATTTTGCATATTATTAAATTTTGGTAAGTTGAAAATGGCCTGGTTCTGATATACATTCAAGCAAGCATCTGTACTGAGTCACTACCAACACAAATTTTATATGTCTTTACTAGAAATGGGATGATCCCCCTTTGATGTTAATGAAACCAATGCAAATACAATTCATTTTGCTCAATAAGTAAAACATGTTTTGCACCAGTCAATGTTTGATCATTCATTTTATTTATTAATTCTTTGACTGCTTCACGTGTACAGATAATCTGTGGAATAAATCTGTCCTGCAAGTGATGCTTTGCATGCCACTATTAATTTATCAGTATCGACTTCGTTGGCTGCATAGACAATCGTGGACTTTAAGGTACTCCCAAACATCAAATTTTAAGCTTACTCTGTTTTATTTATTGGGGTCAACTTTTGTAGTCAAGAGCGAAAATTGTTTTATATAGGCTGCGGCTCAGTATGCAAATGCGTTAATCAAAGTGTGCGCTAGTCCGTTTTATGCAGAATACATTTGTAGGAACACCTGTAGCTACCCTATTACAGCTTCACCTGTAGTGACACAGCACTGTACTCTGATAGCAGCCATCTCATTGCAGCGCTGCATAAGCATGACGTCACTGGGAACACGCCTCGTGACAGACAACGACATCAACTTGCATGGGTGAGATAATACAAATACTGTTAAATAAAACAACGTAGATGCATGTATCTTGACGGCGTATAACAAAGTCTACTTCATAAAATATGTTGTAATAGCTGAGCTGTACATTTGGAGTGATACTATCATACCTGAAATTTTTGTATAGCTTGGCATTCGCAGTTGTCTTCCCCTCTCTTCATGGTATGGTCCAAAAAAAAAAAAAAGATGGGTTAATCAAAGATTAAGGATTATCGAGAGAACCACGGAAATAGTCGAATTGTTGTGAACGGGTTCACTTTGTTACGGTGTCAAAAAGCTATTAAATAATATTACACCCTGACATTTTGATAAAATACGCGATTTCTAACAAACCTGTGTTGTTAGTACGTGTTTCATAAGTTACACCATGTCAACCCCAGCCAGAAGGAGACTTATGAGAGATTTTAAACGGTGAGTTAATGATAAATTATGCCGATGCCGACAACGTAAATTAGCTATGATTTGTCAAAAACAGCTATCATTAGCCTAGCGTTAGCTTGGCACAGATAAACCGCATGTCATAAACATTAATTCGTCAATTCCCACAGGAAACTAGGGTCTTACCGTAAACCCCAGTTCGCGTTTTACGAGGCTGAAAACATTTGGTGATATAATGTTAAATAACGCTGCCGTTAATCAGTTGATGTGCTTCGCCCGTAATTAGCTAAAAGCTAATGGTGCTTGCTAATACATGTTAGCAATTTGTCGACGAGTTAGCTTACGGATGCTAGCACACTTCAGAATAGTTAACGTTAGCGTGTAAGTGTCCGTGACTTGCCACCGTTTGGATATATTGCCGTTAGTCAAAACACATCCAGTGAAGTGTATCTAGCATTAATGCGTGAATTTATTTAAACCTGCTGTTTCTTTATCATTATCGTTAACGCTAGTGTACGTCGCTAACTAGCATTACTTCTGTAAAATCCCTACACCCCTTCCATAAGTTAATCAGTCAGTTTACCAGGTGTAAGGTGAGTAGTTAAGAGCAGATTTACTCTGAAATAAGATTTAATATGACAAAATGTTAGCCTCAAATCTCAGACGTGGGTGAAGGTAGAACATCATAGTCATAGCGGAAGCCACGACTTATGTTCTGGAGCTGGCCACCAACTTTTGTTCTAGTAAACGAACACAGTGTCCGTGGACAACATCTCCTTATGGGCTCGTAGTGCAGCTTAATTTTATGAGCAAATACATTTCTCCATACTTTAATTCGAACGAGCCTGGTTATTTAATGGTCGCTAGACCATGTTTTCGTGTTACAAATGGAAGAGGTTTCAAGTTCCTTGTTTGCACAGAGTGTTAACTCTTTGTCTCTTAGGTTATGACAAGACTGACCTGCAGGAATTTGTACAGGGCTTTCCAAGTATTGGGAGTGGAACTTGTATGAAACCTATGGTTTACACCATTATAGGGTTGGGAAATGAATTCACGTGCTTCTCAGTAAGATATTCGCAGTATGTTTTTAAAAACATTTAATCTATAATTATTTTGTGCAACACGGGTTTGGGCAATGGCTGTGCAAGCTGACAGTATCCGAATTAAATGTCATAAGCCATTGTTGGAAAGGGCGTAAGATATTGGCATTTAAGGGTTGAGCTTTAACAATAGTGATCTTACTGTAATGAGAAGTGTGGTACAACAAACTGTGTAATGCTTTGAAGCTAAATTTCTCATTAATACTAGTGAGATGTTGATTGTTTGGGTATGTTAATCATAAAAACAAGACCGTTAAACTTTGGAACTTGTATTTTATGTTTTTTAATTACTTGATTGTCAGCCTTGTGATAGGCTGGTGACCTGTCCAGGGTGTACCCCGCCTCTCGCCCAATGTCAGCTGGGTTTGGTAATGATCCATGAATGGATCATTACTTTACTACCAAGTGTTCTCCCTTAATTTAAAGTCAGCCAGAAGTTTAGGCTGGCACAATGTCATGTTTTCTATAGCAAACTTTGGTTGCTAACTCATAACAAAAATATACTGTATATCTTAAATGATAAAACGTTACATGTATTACATTACAGATAATTGTAAGCTATGGTACCGAATATTAACAGAGACAGTGGCTGAGTTTCTTTTGTTCTGTATATATTTGTTCAGTGCAGAAGGCATACTGATTTGCATTTAGATGGGAATTGTACCTTTGAAAAATTTTAAACAGGTTTTAGGTTTTATAATAGTACAAAGTTGGCATGGTTGAGAGTCTCCAATGATATCTTGCTAACAGTGAGTGAGGGAGATGATGTGATCTTGGTCCTCTTAGATCTTTCAGCCTCCTTTGATACTACAAATCATGATATTCTGTAGGGGTGCTCCGATCAGGATTTTTGGGGCCGATCACCGATCACTAGAAGCTGTATTGTCCGATACCGATCACCGATTACAGGGTCTACTTGGAGCCTTATCATGTATCATTATTTATTAAACTATATTTAACAACAATGTAAATTAAATATTGAAATTACAAGAAGAGGAATAATATCATGAATTGACAACTGAATTTATTGGCGAGAAACATGTGCAACACTTCAACTTAAAACATAGCAGCCTGTGCTTGCCTTGGTTAGCAACTGGGGACAGCTTGGAGCTTGACAAATACAACTTTCCTGTTGATTATATAAAAATAAATAAAATAACAGAACAAAGAGTCTTTGATTTTAGCTTTAGAGTACTTTAACTTTAGACTAAAAACTGCAACAAAAAAGGCTATAGTCAGAATTGTTAAAAAAATGCAAACAACAAAAAACTTGCATCTCCATATATGTATCTGTTTTTATCAACTACAACTTTAACTCAATTCTCAGGGCAGGACTAACAAGCCATTGCAAGTTCACATCTCTTGGGATGTCAAGAAGAAAGGCAGTTAACTAACAGAACCACAGCTGCACTATCATGATGGCTTCTGCCTCATGAATCAATAATAAATTCTGAAGTAGTTAGTTTTTTCTCAGAAGCTCAGTCAGATTTTGTGGGCATGTAGAGAGGTAGAGAGAGCAACAGTGATGTAGAGAATGTAGATTAGTAGCTGGCTTCTTGCATCAAGGGCAGATTTTTCTTTATAAATATAAGCATCTCCGCATTTTTGGCTGACAGCTTGTTGCGCTTCTCATCCACGATATTTCCTGCTGTTCTAAAAAGTCGCTCACTATCAACACTTGTGCATGGGGCAGAGAGGTAGGTTTGTGCTGCTTGTGCGAGAGCAGGAAAGCGGCTTTTTTTGTTCTGCCAAAAAACCCTAACTGGCTGATGACCTAGGCATATGAATTCCATTATTTTGTTTGATATTTCTTTATGCTTCTTACTGTCCTTGCAGTAGGGTTGCTGTC